TATGCTACTGTAAAAGCACCCGACTCAAAATATTTCACCCTATTACATCCTTCCTTCATCGCACTAGAATACCCATTACTTCTGTCTGCGTTGGGGACCGATCAACACTTTGAGATTCAATATGAGCCTTTAGAAAGCCACCTTGAAATGAAAAAAAAAATTGATGCCATTTTCTTTGACAAGAGTTAAAATGTTTCTAATTCGGGGCAATATTTTCATTAGTTTTCTCTAATTCTCTAAGTATATGTCTCTATTGATGTCGCATTTTTCATTCCATCTAGCTCCTTGTAACTCTGTTAAGACACGAGGTTCCATTCTAAGAGCATCCACAATGGTGGTGGGTTTTGACCCTCACCTCTCTCTTCCACATCACTTTCCTCCAAAAACTTAATCCCCTTTAACCTATCACAATTTCTCCCCACTATGGTGACCTAGGTCACATTTTAATTTTTACACTCTCTCTCCTTAGTTTTTATATATTCCACCTTTATTAATTTATTTAGGATATTTTCTTTTGGACTGTTTTTCAGTCCCAGACCAGACCAAACCAAATCAGATCATTGAAGACCAGAATGAGGAATTCTTTGGAATGAGGGGCTTTTGGTGTATAGTAGTATCTAGGGGAGAACGGTTTGGATCAATTTTCAAGAAGAAAAGTTTGCTAAAACAGATAAAATCAGATGCAAGAGGAAAAAAAGTGATAAATTTCAAAGTGACTAAACATATCCTTCATTGGTGTCTATTTATAGAGGGGAAAAAATCTGATTTTTTGGTATAGTTTTTTTTTTAAAATAAATTAATTTAATGAATCATTCTACACAATTGCATTACTTTGGAAAGAGCCTCATTTTCCCGCTCATTGGCTAGGCCATTTCATCCGCACGATTCCGTTTCGATCTATGGCTGTGGGTAAACCGCTTATTTCATTTCCGCCTAATCGAACACCCTCATGACCTCATCTCTCATCAACACTTCAATCGATCTCCTCATCCGTAGTCTCATTTTCAATCGAATAGCCATAGAAAATCTCTCAATTCCTCACATCGCTCCTCCAAGTCATGGTCGAAGAAGAAGATGCCACCGCCCCTGCAATCAAATCGGTGCCGCTTCTCCTGGCCATCTTTGCCCTGCTTCTCTCCATTCTCACTTCACCAGTCTCGAAACGCTCCTCATCCCCGTCAACGAAGCAAGACGTCACTACACCATCACTCACCCCATCTCAGGTTCTTCTCAATTCCCTTTTCTGTTCAATCCCATCTCAAAAACCCTGAAATTCCAAAACCTAACCCTCATAACTAGCTAAAATCAGCATTCAAAGACTCCACAAGAGTCTAAGCCGTCTTGAAGAATCTATCCATCCTCGAGAGAGCACTAATCCAATCTTTACAACTCACTCGATGAGATATATTTTTGTCATGTCACAACTTCCTAAATAAAGAATCAAGGGTAGTAGATATAGGCTCACCAAAATAAAATTATTTTCATACCAGTTTGCTATGTAACTTTACATCAAGTTACATGATTTCATGTTTCTCTACTTTTTATTTACATTTGTGGGGAATATACTTTTTAACCGGAGTTCAGGTTAGATTTTGTTTTAAACTTATAGGGCTTAATTTATGAACACTTCTGCTTGGTCTAGGGCTTAATTTGTGAACACTTCGAGAATAGGTTTTGTGTTCTCAAAGAAGACATACACATAATTTAAGAATAATATTCAAGTTCATTCGAACTATACAGGGGGGACATTTTGTTTTGTTTAGCTATAGAGTGATAACAAAATAAATGTGTTTATTTCTGGCTAATTTGTAAAGAATCCTAAGAATACTAATGCTTCTTGAATGAAACTATGGATTTTATTGTCAGTGATAACACCTTTCACATTTTGATAGTTGTTGTCGGAGCGTATAATACAATAAGATCTCTATCACATTCTAGCCAAACAACTTTAATGCAATTTCCAGATAATCATATTCACATGTCATTCATTCCAAATGAATGGCAGAATTTACTTGAAAAAATATGAAAGCAACTAAACTTATTTCAGCAACACTGTGAAAATAACCCTACTGCTATTTCCAGATAATTACATTAATCTGTTATTTGTTCCCATCAATGCCAGGATTTACTTGAAATCAATATGAAAAAAGAGAAGGCATCATATTTCGGGCTGCCTAGATTATCATACTTGAATTGGTTGGAACAAAAAAGGAACATGGTGTTGCTACCTAAGAGGTGGGAGTATGGAGTGTTTATGTATCCAGGCACAGCCTAGCATACAGAAGAGCAAACTACTACACTTCAAAGGACAAGGTTAAGGATATAAGAAAGATGTATATTTTTCCTAGATATCAAGTATCCGATGAGATATATTTCCTCATTTTTTTTTATTAATAATAGAGTTGTATGAAGTAAGCAATTTCCTTTTACTATTAGAGTTAATTATTCCATACTTTGCTAAGTCATTTGAAACTTTTAATTTGAATATGTAATAGTTTTGTTGTTTACAACTTTACTCTTGTGTTTTCTTCTTCTTTATTTAGTACGAAAGGAGACTATTATGGTTCTTATATATACAATTTTTTGATATACTTCGATATGTAGCCAATGCATTTAATCAAACACTTATGATTTAGAAAATTTCATGGTATATGGTCAAAAGTTGAGTTTTGCTTTTGATTTCATGTGATTTTTTCAATTTGTAAATAAGTATCTTTAACTAGAACCCCTAATTTGATTCATATGCTATCTGTGAGAATAATCTTTGGTTTAATTGTACTCATAGTACTTTCATTGATTTACATTACTATGTCGTTTCGGTTCTTTAGTTTTGTCAAAGGAGCAATTTGTTGTCCTTTTTGCATTGAGCTATGAACACAAATATTTTTTCATACATTGTAGTGATTAACTTATCATAGCCACACTAGGAAACAAAGGCACTACACCAAGATGATAGAATGTGGATGACATTGCCCTGAACAAGATTTTGAGGACAAAGCAAAAAGAAAAGAAACAAGGTTTGAAAAAAGGTCATTGCTGAGCATGGCTGATCTGTTGACTTTTGAGAAACAATACAGGCAAGTGGCAACATATAGGCAAGTGGCAACATATATGACTTCAATACCATGTTGAGCATTGAAGGAAACTGTTATTAATTAGCATTGTAGAAGATGCACACAATCAACTCATGTATGTATGTATACACTTAGCACTATTCTGATTTTAGTTTTCAATGCTTATTACAACATTAAGATATGGTAATAAGTTAAACAGGAGCAGAGGAAGTTTGTTATCCTGATTGTTATTTATTTCCTTCTTTTTAAATAAGAACAAGGAAAATAATGTGGTGAATGTTGAGGAGGTGACTAATTGATTACTTGAATGGTATTCTATTGTTCAGGTGTGATTGATTGCGTTTTATTTATTTCCATGCCCTCAGATATACATGATGATCTTCTAACACTTTTTATTTATTTATTTAAAGGGTGACTAATTGATTATTGGATTTCATTTTAAGGTTATAAAAAATCTGTGTTAGCTTAAACGACTTAGCTTTGCAATAAGTGTTTTTGTAGTTGTTTAATGAGTTGAAAAAAAAGCATTTTTTTTATCTTGATGAGTAAGGTTTGTGAAAATTGTTTCACCGTGAGAAGTTGTCCATAAAGTTTCTTTAATCTAATTTTAAATGCAGAACCTTTTGATCATTTAAAATTTTAAAACTGGCTGATATCATCTGTTGCGTTGATGCTTTTATTAAAGAATTGTTAGCTGGGTTTTAAGACAAATACCTAATGCATCTTTCATACACAAATTGGAGTGTGGGGTTCACCTTAAAATCTACACTCCTTAAAGTTCAGGTTTTTATGGTTGATCCGTTGATGTTTATGCAGTTTTGCTTAATTTTAGGGGTTCACCTTGAATCTTTTTTCAACTTCAAGTTGGGGAGATAGCCTTTTGTTTTTGTTATCAGAACAATTTTGAGATTCGATTATTTTAGAGAAATTTGGTAGATTTTTCTTATCTACAAAGTGTGCTTTTATATTTCTATATTATTCAATTAATTTGTCTAAAACATATTTGTCTCCTCTTGATAATTTCTTCATATCGAAAGCATAATTGTCTCTATATTTTTAGAAACATCATTGGTTTGTTTGATCTATTGGCAATTATACTCCTAAAATCTCTTATTAGTTGATAAGTTGACAGTTTAAGTTGTCGGCATGGATAAATCTATACGAAGAAATTGACAGTTTTTCAATGGAATGGACAAACAACTAAATATTATCATCTCCACACTTCATCATGTAATATAGAAACAATTAACGCATTTAAACACACTTCTTTGTCTTTAAAGTATCAGGTACGTGCTACTTAGTTATATGACATTTATGTTTTTAGTAATGAGAAGAGTTTACGAAGATGGCCTATTTGAGCCTTTGAGGACTTGAAGTACCGTATTAGTTCATCAATTTCACATTAGTCCCCATTTTGCAATCCTCATTTTCATTTTATCAATCTTATTAGTTTACTTTATTTATCAAATACAAAATTTTTTAACTTTTTCATAAATAGGTAAATTCGACCAATTCAAACACTTCAGCCAGAATTTCATCAATTTTAACATGTTCAAGTGTTTTCAATTAATTTCAGTGCTATAAATCCGACTTTAAATAATTTTGATAGAATACCTTAGTTAATAATAGAGGAAGACGAGTATGATTATTTCATCACAACAAGTGCTTATAAAAATGAACCTCCTTACCATGCATTAGTACTTTTGTGTATTTTTTCCCGTTTTTGGTCCTTCAACTATTGTGCAAATTTCCCACATTTAATTTTTTGAGTATTGGCAAACTTACATTTTTTATCTTCTAATATAATTTTCTGCATAAAATGGGTGACTAAAAGTGTCACAATGATTATAGTTGAATGACCAGAAATGTCAATTTTATGAAATTGATAGCACTATATCTGAAAAATCTCAAAGATGATTACTAAAATTGTCTCTGCACAATACTTAAATCTCGTGAAATTAAGCCAGTTTCATGCCATACGGAGTCTAAAAATACTTCCCATTCAAAATGTAGAGGAACCTAGACAATATTACTTATTTTTACAAGCTTTCTTTAAACAAAGGAAGCATCCCATATTCCCATATGAATGTAATTCAGATGTGGTAGATCACATTATTTATGTTTAATACATCCTGTTTTATACAGATATAAATAGTAAATGTTTTTATGTATATACGTAACATAAAAAATATACAGCTAGCATTCAAATAATAATTGAATTAATTAATTAACTAATAGAGCCACACACACGCCTAATGGTTCCTTGAGACCCAGTAAGCACACCAATTCTGCCCATTTTAACCATCGCACTAGCAAATTCATCTTCAAAGGAGGGCCCAAGAAATGGTAAAAAGCCAAAGTAGGAATCAACCACATTCTTGGTTGATGGATCTTCATATAACCGAGCATCCGATTGTAACACTGCAAACCCACTCCTAATATTCTGTAATATTTGGTTGTCGAATTTGTCCCCGCTCCCGTGATCGATCGGCAAACGGACGTTGACGTCTCCGTTCTGCGGGCACGTCGCCTTTAGCTCCGGCAGCAAGTCCGGGTTTATCGCCGGGTCGGCACCACCGCCAGGGGAGGAGAAGTCGTATAAGCGTTTGGTCATGAAGAAGCATGCCGTTGTACCAATTGTGTGTGCAGCTGAAATTATTTTCGCATGCCACAAATTTCATCTTATTTTAGTTACAAAATACAAACTAGATCATACTTTGTACATAGTATGAAACAGACTTAATTAAGCAATACAAATCCAATCAGAACAAAATAGAATTAGATAGTAACACATTTTGTCCTACTTTCTTTGCCTCATGCAGTCATGCTTTCTTTATTTGTTTATTCCATTAAAGTTGTCACATATCATAGAAGTGTAGTCATACAATAGAAATGTGGCATCGGTTAATGTTAGAAATTGTCCAGAATACTTAACGTGAACTAAACCTGAGTTAGAAAAAGGGGCATCGACTATCGAATCAAATTAAATTTCTCCTTATCAGTAGTTGAAAAGTATTTCTTTATGAACTGTACCAGATGTACACTTTAGTGTACACCTTTTGGACACTCGTCTGTCTCACACACACATAATTGTTTGTCCACACACATTTCTTTGTGAACAAACAATTCTGTGTGCGTGAGAGAGTGCGTGAGAGAGTGTACATCAAAATGTGTACACTTTCATTGGTTCTCTAGCATGGAAGGAAACCCACTTTTTGGTTCAGGATCATTAAGTATGACAATTGGCATCCATGCATCACATTCGTCATCCAGTTGACCCATCATCAAATTAAAACACACATTTACCCATAAAATAAAATTTAACAATAGTAGAAAAACACGCCTTTTGACGCCTCTATCTTCTATTGGCACATGGTGTGAGGTCATTTATTATTATCTTTCTATATATATGAGTGCTAATATTTAATAAAAACTATAATAATAATTTCTAAAAAGGATGACACCCCATCCCTGAGGCCCCCCAACACCGACCGGACGACACGATGGGAGGATGTAAATTGGACTATAATCACAATCTGACAGATAGAGAGTGTGGCTCTGTCCCCGATACTTGTAGAAGCCCTATGCATTTTTCAGCATAATAACCCCTCATCGCAGTTGTCGGGATTCGAACCCGAGACCTAACCCTTGTGGCACTCCCTCGCTACCAGTTGAGCTACGCCCACCGGTCAAACTAAGATATGGGTAAACTTTTTATAGTGATCAGCTCCACCGCTTTCACGGCCCCTTACCCTAGAAACCCAACTTTGGCTTGGCCCTACGGGTTAGTATACACCACTTGGCCCTACCACTTGAAGGGTTTTTTGGGGGAGCATAGTTCCACTGGTGCTAGTGAGACTCGAACACGAGACCTCTCCTATGCAAGGATAACATCACAACCGGCTATAATAATAATTTCTAAAAGACGTGGGAAAAGTTCACAAGAACACTTACTATTAGGGGAAGACGACATTTGATTTACTTTAAGTAGACAATATACTACAAAGTATGGAGTATTAATTATTGTTTACCTCTATTTCATATACGGAGTAGGTCATAGAGAATTGACATCAGTTTCAACGAAGCCAATATGTTATTTATTGTTTGCCTCTATTTCATATAGGTCATAGAGAATTGACATCAATTTCAACGACGACAATATGTTAATTGAAGAAACATGCTTGAAATTAGATGATATACGTACATCATTTAACCAAATTTAAGAAGTTCAGATCACATTAGTTTAAATCAGACCAAATTACTACTGAACATTAATTTACTAAGAACGAGTTTATCGAGGTATATGTATAAGCATAAATAATACTTCAATAAGAAACAAAACAAATCACACGAAGGAACTTTTGCCACTTTTAGTCGTGTTATGTCGCGACACTTTTGATACTCGAATTAGAATTTTTCCGTTTTTTGTTTTTTGCTTAATTGCGCAAAACACATACTTGACACTTGTTTTTGAGATTTTTCATATTTTGTCCTTCCACTTTCATAAAAGTGTCACTTTTCATTTTTCAACTATTATCATTGTTACATTTTTAATCCTCCATTTCTCGACCCATTTATATTGTCCCGTTTTACCTTTTCGGGATGTCCTACTTAAATTGTCTCATACCATATTTGGCAAAGTTTGTGTGGCTCTAAATCATTATATTCTTACTTTATTCTTACTTTATCAATTAATATCAACCACACAAACCCATTTTTCTTAATAACTGTGTCACCCTCTTCCGTCCCAATATAAATGGGACGGAGGTAGTAGTATAAATGATGACTAGGTAGCTAGGTTGGTCATGTGCCTTGTCCAACTACTGAAAACCCCACAAAATTTAGATGAGGGATGAGTGAAATTACCACTGAGGACAACAAGGTCTTTGTTGGAAAGTCCTTTCTTCATAAACTTGTCTTTGAGGGTCTGGATGGAATCATCAATGTCCGGCATCTCATCTGCCAACGACAAATCCGACACCGTTCCGTCCCTCCTTCCCATTTCCACCTCGTACCTCGCTCCTTTTGTCTACGTATACCACAGCACCCATTAATTCATTAATTAATTACCGTCGAATTATATATTGTTACTGCAGTTGCAGCCTTTTTTACCTGTACATTTTTTTGCTAAAAAGGGAGTTATAATGTTCCCAGTTTTGGCATAAATACAAAACAGTGAAAGAAAGAAAACAAAAACAGAATAAAAATTTCCTTTATTTTAATATGGAGTGCTATTTCTTTAATTTAATGACATAAAAATGTGATTCTCCCTCCCTCCATCCCTTAAAGGTTTGGCAAGTTTGGAATAATAAAAGTAAAAAATATGTGATAGATATTTGTGCAGATGAGAGAGAAATAACAGGAGCCACAAATTGATTGATTAAAAGAAAAAGTGACAAAATTTTTGGGACAAAAAAAAGAAAGTTGACAAAGTTATAAAAGACAGGGAGTATTATTTTTTTGTCAACTTTCATTTTATCCAATTACAATGAGTTTAATCCAAATGTGTGAATATAAAGCGTAATATTTTTCAATAATTTACTTAACAGACAAACGTACCAAGACAACAGCTTCTCTGGCGGCCAACGCGACAATATCAGCACAGGAAACGACGGCGGGGCAAACAGCTTCCACCTCCGCCTTCGCTCTCTCTATCACCTCAAACCCACCCACCCCTTGATGCCCGAACGCGTGCCTTTCCGACGTCGCCCCGTTATCTACCAGTATCGACCCGTCACACCCCTTCATTTATTAATAACATTTAGAACTTTTTTCTATAACAACTACTCGGGAAAATTCTCGAAACACAAGTAAATTCTCAAAATAGAAGTAAAGATGTTCAAAAATTTCAAAATCGGAATGCCATTTTTTATTGTCGAAATAGGTGTGAGAAATGTCGAGTTGAAAAATACTACTTCCTTTGTCCCTAAAAATACTTCCAACTTTTCTTTTTGGATGTCCCAAAATAAACTTTCATTTTTGCTTTTTGTTAAATAATTTGTGGTTCGCGACAATTTTTACACACTTCTCTCTCTACCACACAATACTCACTATCTTAATCCATCCATGTGCCAAAACAATTCGATTGAAACCTTGAGTAATACAAAACAATTCCTTGATAATGTGAAAACAAAACAATTCGATTTTGAAATAAACAAACGTTTTTATTCCTGTAGACTCGGTATATACAACTCTTTCACAAATGATAACAACTTCGTTTTTTATTTATTGCAACGACCAAAGAAAATTAAATTAAAGCTACATACACCTCACGTCCAGCTAGCTAGCTAGTAATTATTAATGGACGGACCTGGACGAAGCAGTCGTGGAAATGAAGGCGGAGCAAGACCGGAGAAATTTTGGGGTTGGAGGCGGCGACGTCACGGACAACGCCGCCGACGATGGACTCGACGTTAGGGCAGGTGGTGTCGTAGAAGCCGACCCTGAGCTGGCCTTGGGAGATCCCGGTGAGATGGGTCCAAATGCAGAGCATCAAAACCAAACTTATCATTTTGCCTCTACACTTTGCTGGGGGCGATCATATGTACATAATAAGAATGTTTCTTGGGAATACATATATATAACGAGTAGTTAAATAGATTAACCAAAGTGGGTGGGATCCAGGAAGTGTATATATAATGTGTATTTATGGCAGCTAGCTAATTGCCAGTATATATATACGTCTTTTTGTGTTTTTTGATATGGATATATGATTGCTCCTTAGTGTGATCAGAGGTCATATATACCTAATACGATAGTATACAAGTATATATAGACACACACATACATTCATATACGCTAGACATCTCTTTTTATTTTGCCAAATTTGATTTTTCAAGTAAATGATACGTATAGTAGTACTAGTATGTAGTAATAGTATCTAACCGTGACCGGTTATATGTTTGTACGTATACATAGTATTGATAATGTGAAAATGATAAAAAATAGTCTTTATCAAAGATATTATCTTAAAGGTATAAAGTTTTTGAATTTTACATAAATATATTAATTTAAAAAGAAATTATACTAATGGGACTAATACATAGTTAAAACTCCAAAATAGGACTTCAAGTTTTAAATTGCCTAAATGGGACTCCAGATTACACTTTTGCCCTTCTGCAATTAAAACCTCAATCTCTCGCTCCCTTCTGCAAATCGTCGGCCACGCACATCCGCAACACATCGCTGGCCCCTTCTGCAATCTACGATAGAAGTTCATTGTAGCAGCAGCACTCCACACATCCCTTGACAGTAGCTCCGCCATCGACTATGGCTACGTACCGCAACTCCACCGTCGACCACAGGTATCCTCCTCCTCCTCCTCCTTCCTCTTCTTCGTCTTCCTCCTCTTCCTCCTCAAATTGTTGGTCCTTTGTTCTCTTCTTCTTTGGATTTTTTGGATTTTTAATAATTTGGATTTTTTGGATTTGATTTTATTTATTCAGTAAAATGCCACTTGTATATTATGAGAATGTCAAAATTATTGGTTATTTGAAAAAAAATGCCGCGTTTGTGACATTACATGTATCAAGATGACAATCTAAAACTGTCACTTCTGTTTCGAAAATGTCACTTTTATTACTCTCGAAATGTCATTTTCTTCTTTGAAATTGTCACCTTAGCAAATGTAATGTCATAAAAAGTGACATTTTCTACTTCCAAATATTGTAATGACATAAAAGTGACAAAGGATCTGCCCTCCACGAGGAATGCCGGTTGATATGCGAGAATGTCACTTAATATGCATAATGAAACAATAATGAAACGTGACATTCTCAATATGGCATTTCTAAATATTGTAATGACATAAAAGTAACAATTTATAAAAATACCCAAAAATAATGACATTCTCTTATTCAAAAAGTGACATTTTATGGAATAATTAGTCAGGGAATTTTGAGATTCAAAATTGATAATAAGAGATTCAGGTTCATATTTATCTTCATTTGAAACTTTCAAAAATTAAAATTTAAATAAAAAAATTGAAATCTAAAGAGGAAGAGAACAGAAGACCCAACATCGAAGAGGATGGGAAGGAGAAGACCAAAAAAGGAAAAGATTAGGAGGAAGAAGGAGGAGGAGGAGGAGGAGGACGAGGAGGAGGAGGAGGAGGAGGAGGAGGGGAGGAGGAAGAAGAGTACGTACCTGGGTAAGCAGGTGAGGCCACAATCGACGATGGTGACGAGAGATTCAATTTTGCCGTCTGAGGAAGGATCGCATCAGTTGTGCATCGATGGTGTGCGTCTTTTTTAATGAAGGGCAGTTTTGTCAGGTTACCTCTTTTTAGTCCTATTTTTGTTAAATAAAACATAGAAGTCCTGTTTTTGCAATTCCACTTGTTTTAGTCTTATTTAGACAAATCACTCTAATTTAAATAATTAATCAAAGTTTACCATTCGATGGTAAAAGTTAAAGTAGTCTAAGTAAAAATGGATAAAACTAGAATACAACTTAAAGAAGCCTAAGTAAAAATGGATAAAACTAGTACTCCTTATCATTTACCAATTTGATAACGACAGAACCAGAGGGTGGGGGGGCTCGCTACATGATTTATACTCTATGATATGTAAACTTCAAGTCTTGAATTCCCATGTGCAGACTATACCTATGCATATGTATTTATGTAATATGCCCGTGTCCATCTAAAGCTGACGATTTAGTGATTTACTAGGATCCCTTTTTATCAACTTTGTACTCTCAAGATCAAGAGTGAAGAATTTTACTTGTATAGAATTAAATGTCGTCTAAATAGGATTAAAACATGGTGAGAACAAAAGAAATTTTTATGTGCTATTTGTAGGGAGATATTTTCCAAATTAATGTTGAATTAAAAAGTATTTACCAAATTGATGTTGCGTTAAAATTATTTCCAAACGTACTACTATGCTAACCAAAGTTGATGATTGCCAACTCATCCGCCAGTACGATGAAGAAGAACCACCGGCAGCACAAAATTGGAGAAGAGGCATTGGTGGGACCCAACAAACTAGAAAATCCCATTTTTTTAAAAAATGTTGTAACTTTTTTATTTGTATTCCGATTGTCACAAAAATATATCAATATTCATAATTTTTATTATCTTTCATATAAGACCAATATTGTATATATAAAAATTTTAAAAAAAATTAGATTTAAAAGAAAAGCTGTTTTTGAAAGTGTTATACAAGGTAATTGTTTTATTTGTATACAGATTATTTTAAAAATTTTATCGGAATTCATAACATTTTATTATCTTTTATATGACACTAATATTTCGTAGGTAAGAATAAACAAATAATTTAGCACTTTCAAAAAATTATTTCTTAGAGTGTTATACCTATTTTTGTATTCGGATGGTCTAAAAAAATATACCGAAATACATAATTTCTTATTGCTCCCTCTGTATTTGTTTATCTGTCTTTTCTTTTTGGTATGTATCAAATTAAGTATCTCATTTCTTTTTTGAAAAAAAAAAAAACACACAAAAACAGCTACAGTATCAGTATAGTACCGCCACATTACCGCTACAGTGTTATAACATATTATTTATACTCTAATTGTTACAAATAAAATATAAAAACTCACATCTTTTTGTTACGTTTCATACGAAACGTAACAAAAGTTATGAATCTTTATATATTATTTGTAACTATTAGAGTACAAATAAACTATTAAGGAGTATAACACTTTACAAATATGTAGCGGAAATGTGGCGGTACTCTATTATACTGTAGCTGCTTTTGTATGGTTTTTTTTTAAAGAAATGAGACAATTAATTTGATGTGTGCAAAAAAAACCGGAGTACAAATAAAAAAATTATAACATTTTCAAAAACAACTTTTTATAAATTTCAAATTTATTTTTTATATATAATATTGGTGTCATATGAAAGCTAATAAAAAATTATGAATTTGATATATTTCTTGTGACAATAGAAGTACAAATAAAAAAAGTTACAACATTTTTTAAAAAAATTTTATCTCCTATTTTGTTGGGTCCCACCAATGCCTCTTCTCCCATTTGGTGGTGCCTTTATGCTTCTTCTTTGTACAAAGTAGCGGATGAGCGATGAGTATACGATATTGTTAACCTCAGTAAGAGCATCTTTAATGGTATCGTGGATTGTATCTTGTAAAAGATGGACATGTCATTTATGTAGAAGGCCCGTGAAGCTGACGTGGTCACACAGACATTGAAAATATTATTTGTGCTCCAATGCAATCCTAAATTAAAGAATGAATTTATATCCACACCACATCTTCCGTTTATGAAATTGTCATAGGCTATTACGGAGCATAACTTTTCTTTCAAATATCTTCTTCTCTAAAGGAAAAAAGAGATGTGCGAACATATTTGTGCGGTTGTGCCACTCCAGATTGAAGTTAGCAGGAATTAGGTTTATATATATATATATATATACATCATCTATGTTTATACGAACTACGAATGTGAAATTGGGTTCAGATGTGTAGATTTCCTATATTGAACTTTTGTGAATGAAGTGGAATTGGCTTTTGCTTCCAGTCATTGAGAACTAACCCTAGTTGTTCCAACCATTGCACTCCCAGCACAACATCGATACTGACGAGAGGCAATGCATAGAATGTCACTTCAAAGTGGGCCTCTTGAATCTGAAGCGGCACACACTCCATCCGCCCTTTGAATCGAAGAGGCTCCCCATTTGCTATTTTAACATTAAGCGTTGGCATTGGCTTGAAAGGTAGTTGCATAGACTCTGCTTGTTTATCCCGAATAAAGTTGTGAGTGGAACCGTTGTCAATCAACACAATAAGCTCATGTTTCCCGATCCTGGCCTTAAGCCGCAATGTTTGATGCACCGACCACCCAGAGAAGGCATGAATTGAGATTTCTGGGGGTATATCAATCTCATTGCTCTCAAGGTCATCTTGTACCGATTCCTCACATGATTCTCCCATCTTCAACAACATAGGTTTAGGTTGTTTGCAGCGATGTCCTGGTGCAAACTGCTCATTGCAAGAAAAACAAAGGCCTAACGAACGTCTGCGCTGCATCTCTTCCAAAGGTAGCCGTTTAATTGGATGTGTTGACTTCGGTTGTTCCAAGCGTGCCACCGGTGGAGGTCCGAGAATGTTGCTCTTGTCTGGCACTTTGGAAGTCGTTGGTCGCACCCGTAACGAAGTACGTGCAACTAGCAACAATTTCTCCTTTACTAGCCGGGCTAGCCCAAAAGCTGCTTCGAGAGTTCTAGGCTTTAGGGGCTTAACGTCAAGCCGAATCTCGTCGCGCAGACCTCCCACAAAACATCCAATGAGAAAAGACTCAGGCAGATCATCTATTTAATGTGACAGTTGTTCAAAAGTTTCTTGGTAAGCGGCAACAGATGCAGTCTGCTTGAGTCGTGAAAGGTCTTTTGAAGGATCCGCGAACTCCGTTGGTCCAAAACGAAGGCGTAGAGCCCTGGTTAACTCTGCCCACGCTACTGGTCATCTTCGTTTGATCAACCAGCGAAACCATTGCAGCGCAAGACCCTCCAAATTCATGGACACGAGTTTCACCTGTAGATTGGGAGCCACGTCATAGTACTCAAAGTACTGTTCTGCTTGATACAGCCAGCCGGAGGGGTCCTGATCGGGCTAAACTTGCAAGTGTACAAGTGCCGATATAGTAATAAAAATACCGATAATACCGGGTCGATCCACAGGGAAATGGTTGATATTATAAAGTCGAGTATTGAATGCAAAAGAATATAAAATGGTATAGTTTTTCAGGA